ACCCCCGGCCATGGCCGAGCCCCCCCTGGCTCCACTGGGGCTCCTCCAGCACAGATGGGGTTGGTTCAGGTTTGTTGTCCACAGCGGTGTTTTGCTCTTCGTTTCGAGGAGGCTGTCATCCGCTGCAGCTCTGCGCAGAGCCGGTGCCTTGAGGAGCTGCAGACGCTGTGCCCAGAGCCATGCGGTTTGTGGAAGCTTGTTAGATGCAGAAGAGCATGTTTGTCTCTGCTTTTCAACGTTTGTGCATTTTCCTCCTGAAGTCTGTGGTTCAGTTTCACCTTCTTCTTTCTGTGAACTTAAACAACTGGAGAATATGGTTTGGGAGGTAAAAGATGTTTTATTTTCAGAAAATGAAAAGTGTCCTTAAGTGTCTCTCTCTCTCTGTCTCTCACATCCTTTTCTCCCTCTCATCCCTTCCCCACTCCCCTCCCTTCCTTCCCAGGCAGGAGGTTACCAACTTCCTTGTCGGGAGCAAACCACTGTAATAAATTTTGCAGTTCATTTAAAAAGGCAGACTTTGTCTTTTTTGACTGTCTTTCTAACCCTCCTTGTTGGTGCCACCTCCTCCTCCTGGCTCCCCACAGGCAGGAGGGATGTTCTGCCTGGTGTCCCCGCAGGAGAGCAGTGCTTGGCCCCAGCAAGCACTGGGTGCCCACGGGCGTCACTCCTGGAGCGATGCCTGCCTTCGGTGAGACCAGGACACTACGGCTGCAGGAGGGGGGCCGCTGCTGTGGTGTGATTCAAGGCATTGGTGACTCAGGATCTGGTTCAAAGTGCTGCTGGGAATTGCCATAGCGACTCTGAGTGTGTTTTGCAAGTGATGGGCAATTAGCTTAAACTCGGGATTTTTTCATGTAGCCCTTGGTGGTCACTGTGGCTGAAAGCCTGCGATGTGCCATGCACTGCGGCAAGGAGCAAACCCACAGCAAGGCACAGAGCTCTGCAATAGCTTCGATGACCTGTCTTGTAAGTACTTTGGTGCTTGGCTGACTCTGATAACCGGAGCGATGGTCTGCACTCGCATCTCGCTCTCCTGACCAGCACAGGGCTGCTCGAGGGCTGCAGTTCCCAACAGCACGTAGATACATGCTGGCCAGCACACGCTGTGCTGAGGCCAGGGAACGCAGTGAAATGCAGGGGACAGCACACAGGAGCATGCAGTGCCCTGGTCCCAGGCACCGTGGCCAAACTGCCCTCCACTGCGTTCAGCCACGAAAAGCCACGGCACGCTGCCCCAGCTGAACACAAGCCCATTCCCGTGAATACATTGCAACAAGGAGAGGAGGTTGCCTTTAAAATCAGCATTTACTGTCATCATAATCAGCAAAAGAACCAACACATTTTATGTGCTCTAAACACTAGGGAGGTAAGAGGAGAACCAGTCGGATGCAAAGAACAGAGGGAGAGAAAACATAACCCCAGCTGGCGAGCGGCCACGCCAGCCGGGTGAGAGCCTGGGGAGGAGCAGGGAGAGGATTTTTGTCCTAAACAGCAGAAGATGCTATTGAAGTCAGCTGCTTTAGAAAAGACTTGAAGCCAGCTGCTGTCTTCCTTAGTGCATGTGCTTCCTACGCAGTCCATCCCCATCCCTGCCCCGGCAGAGCGGTGTGCCGGGCCAGCGGCAGAGCTGGGGAAGGCAGCCGTCCTTGCCAGCACGGGATCGTGGGCACGCCGCCTGGGCACGGCTGCCACGGGGAAAGCTGGGCTTGCTCCCATGCCACCTGCTCCAGGTCCCCCAAGCTAAACAAGCTCTACTGGCAGCAACAACAGCCACGCACAACCACATGCTGCCGGTGGTGCCATGGGGCAGCCGGCGGCAGTGCTGCATCGGGCCAAGCTTGGCTGCCCCGGCAGAGGCTGCATGAGCCGCGGGGACCCCCAGGCCAGCACGCAGGCTGGGCAGGAGTCAGGACTAGTACCTGCCTGTTGGTTGCCCACCCCTGGAGAGGAGCGGGGTGGTCTTCAGCAGCAGATGAAGCCCCGTGAGACCCCATGCTACCCCAGTCCTGCCTTGGTTTTGTCCGCACATGCTGCTAGGAAGAAGCGCAGGGCTAACAGCTCTGCCTGGGCTGGGACAGCCCTCCGCACGGAAGCCAGCTCCTCCGTCCTGCCAGCTGTTGGAAGAGCCTCGGCGTTGTGGGCCCGTCACCCAGAAACTTCTCAGAAACCTAAAGCAAAAGAGAGATGGTCTCAGCTGTGTCGGCAGGGAGGGGAGGGCAGGGGTCCCTGCCGGGGCAGCGGGTGCACTGGCGCGGTCCTGCGGTGCGCTGGGGGAAACTGCATCCCAAACCTGCCGTAGGATGGAGCAGCAGGTGGAGGCGGCCACTGGTCTGGCATGGCCAGCCCTGCCTGTTGCCAGTGTGGCTCTGCCATCTCATGGACCCCGCCCTGCCCCTTTAGGGGGGGGGGTCTCTGAAATACAGTCCTTACAGCAGGGAGCCAAAGCTGCCTCAGTGCTCAGGGCCACAGCTGTAAGGAGAAACCTCTTCTTCCTCTGCTCAGAAATTAACCCACCGTGCACAGCGCCAAGCTCTGAGAGTGCTGAAGAATGAGGTTTAAATGGGATTTAATGAAAATACCAGCACTACCGTGGCAGAGAGCACTGATATCGCATGGGCATAAGATACCCTCTGCCCGTCGGGAAGGACCATGGCACAGATGGCAGCAGTGATCCCACTGCAGCACGGCCCGGCAGGGTTGGCATTGAGGGGTCTGCATTTCTCCAAGTGCCCATGACACTCAGGTGGTTTACTGGCTTTGAATCCCAAAGACTCGTAATTTCCTTATTATTTTAAACCCAATCTTATTTAACGTGGTATGGAGAGAGTTGCAGAATTACTCAATATTGATCAGAGAAAGGCTGGGCCATGGAGACAAGATCCATGTTGCTATGTGTGGCTTAGCAACATATAAATGTATTCAAACAGAATAATGAAATTATCGTGGGGAAACAAAGCAGCCATCACTTGAGGAGATGGAGGATGTGGAGGCCTCTTGGAGCTCTTGTTTGCCAAGACAAGGAAGACGGTACTTATTGTTTGTGCAAATATGTGAACCCCCCCCAGCCATCCCCTGCTTACATAAAGAGTGTAATGAATCCGGGCAGTGCACTCACTGCAACGTGCAGCTTTGTACAGCTGGGCTGGAGCTCATTACTGTGGAAATGTGTGGCCTCTCCGAGTGAATTGAGTCCTTGTGGGGGGAGCCCTAATATTGGGGGTGGGGATGCAGGGAGGAAGCCCATGCCTACCTCCTGGCCAGAGCCACACTGCAAAACTCCTCATTTTTGTGGTTCTGAAACTGGTCTGGTATTTACCTGGATTTTATCTGCCCTTATCCTCATGCGTGTTAATGCACCACTGGGAGCCCATCCCACCTCCCCCCACGGACCCACTGGCTGCCTCTTGCGTGTGAAGCCAGCGTGATGCCCACAGCTCTCACAAGAGCATGGCTGAGGCGCTGGAGCAGAGAAGAGGTGGATCCCATCCCAGATCAAGCACAGCTTTCCTGGGAGACTGTGAGCAAGTCATTTAAGCCCCAAGTCTCCCACTGGTGACCAGGGTCCAGCGCTCCTCCTGCCCACCAGCTCTCCCTACTGGACTGCCCCGTGGGGCAGGTGGGCTGCTCCTGGGTCTCTGCGGGACCTCCTGCCAGCCTGCTGCTGGTACTTCACAATTTTCATTAGAGCTGGCTGGTAATTTTCAAATAAAGATACCTGGGGCAAAATATGTCTCTTTTCATTAAACTATTTGGGAGAAAACAGAAGAGGGGAAGCAGTGTCTGTGTTGAAATGATTGGTCTCCTGCTCATCATCAAGCACACAAGTTTATGGTTTGCTTCCCCTGGCAGCTGTTATCTCCAAGAGCTACGCAGCATTTTGCTCTGTTGAGCGAGCCGTGAAGACGGGAGCCTGTGCAACGCTGAGCTGCCCTGGGGTCTTCCAGGCATTACTACAGCTGGGCATTACTGCCCTTTATTTTTTATTTTTAATGGCTGGAAGCACTTGTCTTTGAGCCCGGTGCCTCGGAGCAGCACAGCATAGCCGGCACCAGCGCTGTGCCGCACGCTGGCTTCCACGTACACAAGTGTGAAGAGGAGTGCTCTTCTGGTTCAAGGAGATCTTCTCGTTCACCCCAGGCTGAAGGACTGCCCAACCAAGGGCTCCCTCACCCCAGGGTGCGCTCGGAGCCACGCTCGGTGCTAGCAGAGAGGGTGGTCGTGCACAGCACTGCCCTGCACCCACCGGCCGCTTCCACGGCCGTTGTGCATCAGCCGGTGCATGGGGGGGACAGGCACCGACCCCAGCCCAGCATCCCCACCGTCCTCTGGGCAGACCTGGGCTTTTAAAAATATACCGAGGGCTTACCTGAGAAAACAAAACCAAAATAAACCACCCACCTCTTTGCACAGCTGGAGTTTAATTACACATGTGGCTGGATTAAAATATGCAGGAGCAGGTGAGGGTGAGACTGTGGGGGGACAGAGCACAAATGCACGTGCTGGGTGTAGGTCTTGCTGTCTCTGAGACCCCACTCCTACGCCTGAAATGCTGCAGCACATTTACTCCCGGATGCCACCGTTTCTGCCTTGCTCATGTGTCCACTGTGGGGAGGAAAGCTGCAATGCTTCTGGGTAGCATCGTCTCGAAAATAGTCTAAGCATGCCCTGCTTAGACACTTAATGTGGAGCAAAATCAGAAACCTGCTAATACACTGCTTCCTTTGACAAAAGAAAATGTAACAATACAAAAAAAATCAATTCATCCCCGGCGCTTCTTCACTGTACTGTCTGCTTGAGTGATCCCATCCAGACACCACACTGAGAGTGCTGGGAGTACTTGGTAGTGGTTGGTAAAAAAAAAAAAAATGCTAAATATGCTACACCTGTACCTGGAGGAGCTGGGGACTTGCCCAAAGCCAGGCAGGGAAGCTGGGGAGGGAGCAGGGGGCTGCGCCTGGCCGGCCTCTCCCCAGCACTGCCGTCAAGCAGAGGTCTGGGGCTTAGGAGGGATTTCTGGTTTTAATTCTACCCACCTCCATGGTGACATTGGCCTTTCTACAACCTGAAACAGAAGAAGCTAAATGGCTGCTTTTAAGCTCATAAATCCAGCCCCGTCTGAACACCCCACCTCCCCTGGCTTCCCTTCTTTGGGAGCAGGGCACTCCTGACACCCGCCAGCGCTTTCTGCAGCAGCTGCTGCTTTAAAATACCCTGTGGCAGCACAGGGATGTTGCCACCCCTGAAAGCAGCCCAGGTCTTGCCAAGCAGCGAGGCATGCCGGTCCCTGCTGCGCCTCGAGGACCGGCCACGCTGGGGTGCGCAGCCGGAGAGCTCAGCATCAGGTACCTGCAGGTATCCCCTGTCCCTCTGCTGCCTGCCAAGCCCTGCGACCTGCAGCTTCGCTATCGTGGAGGGAGCCGCTGTGCAACAAACTGCGGACACGAAGCGGCAGCAAGAAAGGTGCAGAGACACAGGAGAAACCAGGCGGGTGCCCTGAGATGGGCACCCTTGGCTGAACGCTGCAGGGTGCTCAGGTTCCCTCCCTGGGCTGAGCCACCAGTGCTGCGGGGAAAGGCAGTGCAGGCAGCACTGGCAGAACTGCTGGGTGTCATTACTCCCCCTCTCCCTCATCTGTTCAGGGGGGACACGGATCTCCCAACAGCCTTGCCAGGACTGCACCGATCAGGGCAGTTTGGAAATAAAAAGCTTCTTGAAGCCTGAGCAAAAATCACCTGCCCTCTGGGCAGCACTCCACCATGCAACCACAGAAACCAGTATCAGCAGTAACAAAAAATTAAAGAAAACGACGTAAGCAAATGTTACCTGAGGATTTGAACGCTGTCAGCTCTACAGCCTGAAAGAGGGGAGAACATTTGTTAGCAGAAGGTACAGGTCTGATTGCTTTGCTGCTGACAACCCCCCGCCACGCTCCCCGGGGCCAGGCAGGGCTCCCCCAGCACCCAGCCACCACACCGCACTCTCCCTCCCACTGAGCCACCGCACAGGCTGGGAACTGGAGCCTTCATCCCGCTCCCTGAGGGATGGACACCTTGCAGCGTGTCCCTGGACACAGCTGCACCTCTCGGCAGCGCCTGGGCAGTGAGCTGGTGCCCCGCTCCGCACACCCTTTCCAGGGACCCCTCCAGTCCCGGGGGTGACCCAGCGGGCCGGACACCATCCTGGAGACCACAGGAAAATCCAGGAAAAGAGGAAAGAGAACTTTCTCCCCCCTGGGCTGTGGTGGAAAGAGCACGCACAAGCCTGCACCCTGCGTTTATGTGATGGTTAATGCTCTGTGAGGTGTGAAATTCCTGCTCCCAGCCCAAAAGCAATAAATATCACCAAACAACATTTAAAAAAGCTGAAACACAAAGAACATCTCGTCTGTGTTTGTATCTTCACTCGCTCAGTGTTTTGTCATTTTAAGTGTTTTCAAACGTTTTTAAGTAGCATCTTCTCTTCATCCAAACCATTGTGCAGCTGCCAGTGACATTCTTAATTCACCGCTCCTCCAGCGAGTGCCATGACTCATTTAGCCAGGGAGCAGGAAAAACAGCACTGACTTATATAACTAACGAGCACAGAAAGCAGCACCTATCCAGCGGAGGGTAGCACCAACGGGGGCCCAGCTGTGCCAACCACCTCTGCGGTGAAGATGGGGCTCGGATGGAAAAATCCCCCGGCCAGCTCGGCACCGCGGGGCTCACACCAACGCCGAGGGAGCACCGAGAGCCAGCCACGCTGACACAGCACAGATCCGTGCAGGCAGCGGGGCTGTGCCCCCTCTCCCCAGGCAGGCACTGGCATCAGCCTCACCTTTTGCTGCATCCACATTAGTGAGAAAGGAAACAAGTATATCAAAATGCAATGTTTAAGCAGCAAAGATACAGCAAAGTCCTCAATGACCCTCACAGGGAGGAAAGCGCTTTCTGTCTTTGCCTGCTAGGAAATGCCACAGCCTTGGCATTTAGGAGATCTACTGCCTCCTAATGCTCCCTGCCTTAGGAAACTCAGGCCCCCGGGCTAATCCCTTTGGCCCACGTCTCATATCTGGTGCCAGGAGCTTAGCCCTGGTCCCGGTTTACACAGCCAGCACCTGGCTGGCTGAGAAAAGCATCACCTGCGAATGAATCCCAGTCGGCATTCAGCACGAGGGGAGGAACGGCATTAACCACAATATAAATCATGAGAGATGAAAATATGGATTTTATTGAGTGGCTTCAAAACGATATGCCAGCTATAGAAGTATTATCTATTGGATAAATAAGAGCTGTCTATGTGACACAGGTTTTCAAAGGATAAATATTAGAGAGGGAGAGAGAGATCCTTCAGTGAGAGACTCATGAAAGTAGTGTTGGATTTTATTCTGAGGAAATTACAGCACTTGTATGTCAAGTGCACAAGGACTGATGATCATTTCAATAGTGGGAGATGGAAGTGGTATCAGAGTAGTAAAATTTAAATTGTTCCCTACTTTAGGCCATGCCTTGCTGAGCTTTACATCAGACTCACTCCTGCAGGCAGCACAACCCAGCCAGCCCTCCCTGGATGGATGCGGCTCACCCACCACGGGGCCAGCAAGCCCCTGCTGCCTAATTTTAACTTGCTCTCCCTGGGGGAAGTCTCCTGCCTTGATCCGTACCGACCTCCGCTTGGTGCTTTACTGGCTCAAATCCACTGGCTCCTTCTGTCCATGCACGCCCCTGCGACAATCACCCTCCCGGCGCGGCAGCGGGGCTGGTTCCCCATCGGCTCAGGGAAGAGCTCTCACCCTGGACATCAGCCACCCGGGGGCCTCCTCCTCTCCTGCCCCCAGAACTCGCACTCTCCCCTGTTGCCCACTGCCGCCTGCCCCAGCCTGGGCCATTGCCTCCTGAGCCAAGCCCTGCCCTCCCAGCACAGCCACGGCAGGTCACTAGCCAGGAGCTCCTGCCTGCCAGCCCACCTTGCTCTCCATCTTATGCTCCTACAGAAGATGGCAAACACTCAGTTGCATCTGGCTTGACGACCAGGAGGGGCCACTATGGGCACGAAAACATGCATCTCCAATGATTTAAATGACTTAAATCAATATGCTGCTAATAACGAGTATGTATTTTAATACACCAGAGTCTTCAGGATGAGTATCAAAACCTCCTCGGTTTTGATAAACAGGCCATGTGTCCGGGCTGGTCCTCAGGAGGAGAGCAGGCAGGCTGTGCTAACACGCTGCCTGGTCCCTCACCAACACTCAGCAACTTCTGTAATGCCCTGGGACCGAGGGGATCGGCACAGGGTCTGCACACAGGGTGGATGAGTCAGGCAGCTTCTGGGACTTGCTCAACACAAAACACTGAATTTGTGCCACAGCTGGTAACGCTACCAGGTGTCCTGAGTCCCGGCCCCTTGCTGGACACCATTCCTACATAACTATTATGCTCTGTATATGGATGAAGGTGGAAGAATAACAAGACATTACATACCGGTCTCTCAGGTGACATAATTGATGAAATCCCCATGGGAATTTTGGCTCCAAAATTTCCTAGGGGGTGAAAGAGCACAATGAGTTTGGGGACTAGAGAGAGAGTAGAAATATTCATGCTTTACCAAGAACTCAGTGCTTTATGTCCCTAAGTATCTCCCACTGAAGCAAAGGACCAAACAAGTTACCTGCATAATTGCACCCACAAACTGGTTGGAGCATGCAACACCTTTTTTCTCTGAAGCTAAAAACCCTATTTCCTACTGCCACCTTTGCCTCTCCTTCTCCAGAAAATTCATTTTAAGACACAAACATGGATTCTTGCCTCCGGAGAATGCAATGCTGTGTAACACAGTGATGAGACCCCCTGTCCACACCCAGCCAGCCTGCAGGCGTGAACCTGACCCCTCTGAGATCCACATGCATGCAGTCCCTGCCTTTCCTGGGAATCCTTCATCCCATGCTGCATTTGCAGCACCAGACCCCAAGTGCTCACATAGGCACAGTGTGCAAATGAGTTAACGCAGTGCCAAGTGAACATGTACTAAAATTCAGGCCTTGGGAATAACATTTTACTGTGGTATCATCACATAGCCTGGGCCAACAGCAACGACAACTCTCTTTACCTTTGTTGGTGATGTTCTTCACTGGGGGGTCTTTCTGCACAGGGCTTGACAAGGCACTCTCAGCTGCAGAAGGACTCAGTTTCCCTGTCTCCCAAGAGGCTGTGTTTCTTGGACTTGATAAGTAGTTGATGGGATGAGAGCAGTTCTGTAATGACAGGGAAGAGATATAGGACAGTGAAAACTGCAACGTGAGTCTGCTAGATCCAGGTCCAATTTTAAAGATTGATTTAATCTGTGGCCCCTGGGACTTGGGACTTCGACTCCCATTCCCAACCTGGTACAGCAGGCTGCTGCCTAATCAGGGTAGATATCTTTGGGTCTGCACTGTCCAACAGGACTGCAAAGAAGGGAGACAAAAAATTTTAAAAATTACTTCTTTCCAACATCATCTTGTCAAAGCAGACCAAACATATGTCTAGGTCCCTCCTCTGATAGGTACATGATGAATGAAGGGGGCAGCAGGGCTTCCTTGCAACTTACTGTGAATGAGAGTGCTTTCTTCTTGTCCTTCATCCTCTGGATGGCATTCCTCACCTGGAGAAGAGCAAGGACATTAGAGAGGGCCACAGCAGCTCTAGCAGAGCAAGAGATCCTCCAGCAAGTCATGGGGAAAAAGCAACTACTGTTCCAGAAGCACAGTTGGACCTATACTGCCTGTTGCACCGACAACAACCCCAGCTACCCCCTTGACTGCTAATAAACAGTTGCTGTGACGAGTGACTGAGCCCCAGCCAGGGGCATCTCTTACCTCGCTGTTGTAGATTGCATAGACCAGGAATATGTACAGGCCCTGAAAAGGAGAGAGCACAGGAAGGGTTAGAGATATACAGCTGGGTTGTGCTAATTTGCATGGGAAGAAATGAGTTTGATGAGCACTAGAATGGGTGAGGACCGGGCTAAGGGGCAGAGGCACAGACAGTGGGCATCGCACAGCCAGGGACAGCTGGGCAGGGAGGACCTTCCTTAAAATCACACTTGAGACCAGGCTCTTCACAGAGACCCCAAAGGAGAGACGGTCCCTGCTCCAGTCCCTCTTCCTTCTCCTCTCCATCCATTTCATTTGGGGGGAGCAGGCATCTCTCACTGGGCACTTGGCTTCCTGAGCCCAAAGCTCTCCCGCACTCCCATTCACTTGTGCACGCAAAATCCCCCAGAAAACACCTCCTTCAGACCTCAGAAGCAGAAACCACCAGGAATTAATTGCTAGGGGAACTGAGATCTGGGAAGCAGACCTCCATTCCCACCCAGCATCAAACCCGGGGCGGGGGTTGCCAGCCTCCCACAGACCAAGTGCAGTATGATGCCGGGAACAGTTCCTCTGTTCCATGCAGTGACAGACCACAGCGTTAACAGGATGGACCCTCTGACCCAAACTCAGTGCGGTATGGACCCAGAGGCTTTGCTCACTCCCAGTCTGTACAATCCTTCCTGCTGGCACGCTGGTGCTCCAGCAGCACAGCCTTGGCTACCCTCTCCCTACTCGCCGAACCGGCACTGTTGCGTGCACACACCAGAGATCAGCGAGCAACGCCACGTTCTGCCACGACCAAACGCTCAGCCACAGCTACACGCCTGGGGCCGGTGAGGGATGTGCTCAGGGAAAATGCCCAGGGCAGGGCCGGAGCGAGCATTGCCTGGAGGCCACAGCCTGGGGCTAATTACAGCTCCAGACCAACGATTTCGTCCTTAAGGCAGCCCTATCTGGCCCACCAGATTTATGTTATATCTGTGGGGTGTTTGTTATCGCAGCTAGATAAATCAGCTGCAGCAAGAAAAGTAATCCATCTTGTCTTCAATGAGCCTTGCTCTTCATCTGCAAGCTCTTGGCAGGCGTAATGGTAGCAGTACGCTGGCGCCGTGCCATGACCTGTCCTTCAGCCAGCAATGCTGGTCACTCCCCCAGACCAGATTTCTGGTCAGGCTGCCAAGGCAGGTCTTCCTTGAAATAATCATTCTGGATGAGCATGGGGGGGGGGGAGCGGCGAGGTCGGCTGGGAGGAGAGCAAGGAAGGAGAGGAGGCCCAGCTGCAGCAGCAGGCGGAAGCAGAGTTGTGGCTCTGGTGGAGCCCGCTCCTGCCTGCGTTCCTGCCTGCGCTTCTGCCTGCGCTTCTGCCTGCGCGCCATCTTCTCCCAGCGGGGACTGCAACACCCCGGCCCCTGCAGCCCCCTGCTCACGGCTGGGCAGGCGCTGGGTGGCCGCAGGCGAGAGCACGGCACGTGCCGGGACCCGCAGAGCAGGATGGATGCTCCTGCCTGGTGTCCGTCTGTCCAGCAACCACATCCTGCTGTGGTCCGCACACCCCAGCTGGGAGCAATGCCATCTCCTGCTCCCCTCTCGCTGGAGACGGGTGAGTGGGTCTGTAAGTCCCTGCCTCGAGCCAGCCTCAGGACCATCCTTCCAGCTCCACAAGTCCAAATGAAGCCAGCAGGTTTTACCTACACTGTTTCTTAAGAGCAGGCACCACCTCCCAGCACTGGGTGCTTGGCAGGGTGTTGGTGCTGCTACCTCCAAAACCGTGGGCTGGAGGGAGGGCGATGCCGCCGGCTCACCAACCTGCGGGGCAGCCACCGCAGCCACCTCTGGCACAGCACAGCTCCCTGTTGCTTTTCAGTCACTCGGCTGAATTCCTGTGCTGCCTGGTTGGAGAAGGAATTGTCATGTTTGGTGTCGACACACAGAGTAACCTTGAAGACAGGCTTCGGTTTCCACAGATAAACAGAAAGCGGTCAAACAAACAAACAACCACAACAGCAAAACTTTCCTGCACAAGATTCATGCATGAAGAAGCACGCTACCTTAAAGGAAATTCCAAGGCAACCATAAGACAGTCAGCAAAGGGGCTGAAATGTAGCAGGCTTTGTCCCTGCTTTCTCTCAATTCCACAGCTTCCCACCAGCATTTCTCCTCTGGGGTAATCTGCAAATTGACCTGAACTCGGTAATGAAGGGACAGAGGCAAACAAGCACAGCATATTCATGGGCAAACCCTCGACTGTCCATCCACACAACAGCCACAGCTCCTACTGAGCTTTAGGAGAAAGAAGAAAAACAAAAGCAGCAATAACTTAGAAAGCAAGGGAAGAAAACAAATCCTGATCCAGCAAACGCCTCAGCTCCTATATCACCCAAGGTGGACATTGTCATGGTTTGTGAGAGAGAGTCTCGGGAGATGTATCATCCAGAGGACACATTTATTCATTTCAGGAGTTATTCCTTGTCTCTCAAAAACCCCATACACCCAGCATCCACGCTATGACAGCCAGCATCCCACAGCCCCTCTGCTGGCACCAGCGATGAAGCAAAGGCTGAGTGAGCCATGGAGGATGTAGGCTGGGTGCTGACCTTGTCAGGCCACAGTCAAGGGGTATTAGCAGTCACTGAACCAGGGAACTTGTCATGGGATTTCCCTTGCCAGTGCTGGGTTGCAGAGCGAAGAGCAGCCCTGAGTGCTACTGGAAAGCAGCTCTCCTGAAGGCTATCCAAGCCTGAGATCCTCAGCAGGACCCCTCTGCTGTGATATACGTATTCATGTTTTTACAGCACAAACACTGAAGCAAGGCAGAGGAAGACTGCCAGGGTGGTGCTGGGACGCTGTGCTCTGATCTGCCTTTCTGCTGATGTTGATGGAGTTCACCCAAGCTAAGAAATGGTTTTTTCTGTGAATGAAAAGATGCTGGTGCTGTTCTCAGCTCTGCTCACCTCAACTCTTCACAGCACTGAGCTTGGAGTTCTCTTCTGCTCAATAACCTAAGCATGGCATGAGGAGGCAAGGAGAACTGATGCTATGTTTAACTACAGTTAGGACAGGCCTCCTGCCACCCTTCTGATATCCTTAATAGCAGAGATGCGGAGAGGCAGCCCTTGTCTGGCCTTGGAACATCCCCATCTGAGAGCCGACGGATGTGCGTGAGCAGCGCCCGGCTGCTGGACCTGCGCCAGCCACAGGCAGAATATCCCTGGAGCAACCACCCATCTTGTGCACGCGGTGATAACGCCTGCGTTGCACCCTTGGAGAGCTGGGCCAATGCTACACTGAAACCGGCCAAGTATGCCAGAGGGAAGCACTGCGAACTCTGCTGCTCCGTAAGTGAAAGCTACAGCGGGAGCCAATTTCTACTGAATCCAAAGAAAAAAGGGAGATGGGGGGTGGAGAACTCTTCGGATCCCAATGGTTTGGAGGGTAGTTCCCAGTTGCTCTCTCGGATTCCCTGGAGTAGGATTTGTCCTCAAGCACTGGGTAAGGGATTCCGAAAAATACATCTGTGAATACCCAGCGCAAAGGGACAGGACTGAGGGTGCGGGTACTGCCAGGCACCACCTGTACTGCCACAGTCTCAGCCCCAGGGGTTGGACCCAGTCCCTGCGTGCCCCCCCTCCCCGCCGCTGGCTCCCAGCCTAGTAAGTGCCTGCCTGCAGAGAGCTCCACCGTTCCCTTGGGACCAATTCCGCCCCCCCCCCCCCCTGTCAGGAGCAGTGGTGTTCAGTGCTTCTCTAGCTCCATCTACAGCTGCTTTCTCTGGAGGTTTGGAAAGCTTCTGCCAACAAGGGCTTTGAATCACAGGTGGCAAGCACATGTTCTGGGACTTTTTGTCACCATGTGTCCCTGAGTTTCAGATATCCTGAGGTCCTGGGAACTGTTCTACCTCAGTGCAGAACTGAGCACTCCTGGCTCCTGTGACTAATACAATTTGCTTTGCTCTCTTAACCACATACAGGCTGGGTAAAGTTTGAAACTCTTTTGATGAAACCAGTAAACTTAGAAGCAAATATTAAGTATAACTTTACACACCAGGGTTACTTTCTGTCCTGCAGAGATCCCTGTTAATACTACCATATTAACAACATGACTCTGAAGTATGATAGCATTCAGGAGTCACAGCCATGGCCCTGGAAGACACCAAGACAAGCAAACAGCCTTAAAAATGTAGCCAGATGCTACCTGAAGAAGAACGAAGAGGCTGAAGGAGACGACATGACTCACCCAAGGTCTTGCAAGTCAGAACTAGAAACAGCACACACACTTCCAGCCTCCCCGTGCGAGGCTCTGATCACCAGCCCGCATCTCAATCTGTTCCACCTAACACTCACTCCTGCATCCCATCAGATTTCAGTGCACCTGTCACTGGGCACTGGGAGCATCCCTGGAGAGTGGCTGCATGGCTGCAGACAGTACAGATTTTAGGGGTAAATATTTTCAGTCCTTGGTTCTTAATTCTTCTTCCCTCGTCTCCCTGCAATAAAGCTGACTTCCAGGCAAAGGGACGGTGGTTCTGCCTGTACAGTTCTTAGGACACAACCTCTAAGTATGTATGAATGTGAACCAGATGAAAAACACTCATCCTAGAACACACAGCATGTAAGCAGCAATCAAGCACACTATGGCTGGAAGTGACCTTTGAAACACTCTCTGTGAACAGCCCTATTCTGACAGGGAGGCTGGCACACACAGCCCATCCCTACCCTGTAGGAAAGGCTCAGATAGCAGCTGGGATGTCTGCCCCATTAAACTGGACAGTTACCATTTGAATTATCCATTAAATGACCAAATCAAAACTGTAATGAAGTTCCCTACAAGCATGTCAGTTTGGAAGTGTCATTTTGAAACCATGGTAATGTCAGAAAATCTAACATGAGAAACAAGATTTGAACTGGAAAGCTATGGCACCAGTAAGACACTCCAGAGACTGGTGCCGAAGGGCCATTAGACAAACAAGGTCTCCAGAGCTGTATTTCATATCTTGGGAGCATGAACTTAGTTTCCTCAGACAAAACAGCACAGCGGCTTGGGAAAGCTGGATTGGGCTTCAGAGCTGACAAATATCCCTGACTATTAGGACAGGTAGAGTACACTGAAGCACAAGAAACCGCAGATACCTGCTTGGCTGTGATGTGAGGATCCACCTGGTACAGGACTCACCTGGAGGGAGTTCAGCACAATGAAGACATAGGCCCAAATGATGCTGAGGTGGACAAGGACCCCACACACCCAGGTCAGCCCCAGCACGGGCAGCAGCACCAGGATGGGCTTGGCTGTGGCCCTGTCAGGAAGAAGAGCTCAGAGTTACCTGGGGGCATTTCAAAGCCGAAATACTGTGCACTGGCACCCACCTCCCAGCCAGCAGCTCTCCACGGGGGTCTCTGTCGTGCCCCATGCCCCTGAGCCCAGGGTGTCCTGGCAAAGCCCCCTCCAGCCTGCCAAACGTCCTTCCTGGCTCTGCAAACCCTGCCCAGGGTCTTGCCATGATCTGCCTGGGGCATCTGCACTAGGTTACAGAACACATGAGTGGATCTGCCTTGGAAAGAGCTCCACGGGTTTAGGAGCATCCTGGCCCGTATCTTGCAGTTTATAAGAATTGAAAGTCTGGAGATGCCTTTCAAACAATGTGTCCACCAAGAGGCACCCAAGGTGGTAGCTATGGAACAAATCCCTTTGCAAACAAAATTAGTTAAGAGGGGAAAACCCAAACATTTCACCTCCTGGCCCCCACCGTGCCAGTCCTGCTCTTTATTTATCACTGAGAGTTAGCAAGAAGGGAGCTCTTTGACGTCATTAGCCATGAGAAAACAGCTATTTTCCCCCTAACTGCTGCTACAAGGAGGGCTTCTGTATTTGTTTTATTAGCATATGGATGTCACCCTGCCCTCCAGCAATGCCCTATCTTCGTGCTTCTGTAAGTTTGGGAAAATTTATTTATGATACAGGAGAACAATGTGTGTCTAGCACGGGTATCCGGCGCCAGCTAACAACAATAAAGATTCACAGAGGATGATAAAATAATGACTCAAGCAGCAGTTTTTTAGAGGTCTCTCTATATTGACTGATTACAGAAGTTCACACTGCCTCTCCTTCCCCATGTATTTAATACCCACCAGCGTTACTTTCAATCCACCAAGTCCCAAAGTCATACAGAAAATGCCTTTTACAACGGCAAATAGCCGAAACCCCTGCACTCTCTACAGCTGGCATCCTGCTGAGGGGCGCAGACAAGTGCTAAGGATGGGACAGGTGTGAGATAAATTCAGTTATGAGCCCTTCAAACTGCAATGTTCTGCAAAGTGGAGAGGAGCTGCTTCTGCAGCTCAGAGCTCTATAAAATTCCATGGAAACTGGGCACCCAATTGGGTCCCTGGGTTCCCTGAAACACCCCAAGCTGCTACCTCACTTCCCTATGGTGATGTTTTACAGGATGCCTGCTTGCCTGCCAGCACACGGCGGGCTGATGTTAGCGAAGGGGCAGACAGCTCGGCAGTGGGATCAGCAGTGTGATCCGCGTTCCCACACACACTATCACCACTGCAGACGACGGGGATGTGCTCACACCAGCCATTCCCAGACCCAAATTGCTGCTCCTCGCGATGCCAATGGGCCCAGGGTAGCTTTGATTTCAGCAGGTGCTGCCAAGGGTCTCCTGTCCCAAAGTGTTGAGAATTAGGAGTGCAAGTGCAGATGTGGGCATCCAGTACTGGGTTCCCCAGGCTGAAAGTGCTGGCTGGGCTTAGACATTAGAACAGACAGACTACCTCTGGGTGATGCACAGTTGCCCTGGAGGAGAAAATCCTTTCTACCCTGACTCCCCCAACTCATGGTCTTTCACTTTGCCAAGGCAAAGACTCTCAGCTTAACAGTAATTCCACCATTTCATACCCAGAGCAGGCACAGCTGGGAGAACCAGCCACTTCCCTGCTCACCATATCTGTATTCCAATCTGGTTCTCCAGGCTGCTGTTGGGCGTCAGCATCTTTGATCTCCTGCGAGCACTGGACACAGTCACCATCACCACCCGGAACAGCACAAAGGTGTTCACCTGTCAGAGAAGAGCCATTGGACCCAGTAACTTTCTGTAATCTCAGCTCCAGTGGGGTGAGACTTTTCTGCTGGGAACTCAACAACTGAGCGTCAGAACTTAGGGAGAAACATATCACTCCTGAGAAAGCTGTGAGTAAAATACTTCATAGAGCTATCCACACAAGTATGAAATCTATAAAACTTACCGCAAAACTTCTACAGAGTGTTTTCCCTGTTAAGTGTTTACTTTAGACCCCTTAAACATTGCACCTTTTTCTGCTACAGTTGTCTAATGATACTGACACTACTTAAAGGATGTACATGTTCCCATGTTAAAATCAGACCTTTAGTTAAGGCAATGTCACAGTCAACCTACACATTTATCTACATTTCTAATTTAACAGCCAAAACAAGAACTGGTCAGCAAAATTTTGTTAAAGCACTTATTTCTATAAAAAAGCCGCTTTGGTTAAAGAGATTTATTTGTGTTGTGAAAGTATATATAAAACATAACAAAAATTCTCCTATAAAAGGAGCAGGCACAATGAGCCCTGCGAGCAAGCACCTTAGCTAGAGACGTGCTGACACCCCTGACTCTGCAATGCTTTCCTAAAACCAGACACGAAGGAATCATGCCTTCCTGGCAGGTTTTGGCACTTACTGCCAGGATGAAGAGAACAGGCCCAACAAAGGCCCAGATGACATTGGTCTGAATGTTCAGCCAGCAATGGTTGTCTGCCACATACTTGTTAAAGGAAGTTGCAAGCGTCACACCCACGATAACGACTGGAAGGCCTACAGAAAAAAACCACAGATTAAACCCCAGGAAAACCAGAGATGTCCCATGCAGGTCAGCTGTGCTCTAGACAATTGCTTCAAAACCCCCATGACCAGACACGCTCCGGCATGAGCCAGCTTAGCCTCTGAAACCCCACGAGCAACATCAATTTACTGCAGCTGAAATCTGTCCCAGCTCTGCAAGGCCAGATTTATACGCTGTCAGCATCACTCTCCTAGGTATAAAGCATTCCAAGTCCTGAGTCCTGATCAAAGCAATTTACTCCTCAGATTGCTTTTTTAACAAAATGGACAATCAAAGACGTAAACCAATCCAAAATACTTGAACCAGTTGGACCCAATGTCCAACTATGTGTGTGTTTTGCAAGGAGCACTGACCTAAAGAGGGTCTTCCCTGATATGAATTTCAGCTTATTCAAATGAATTCTATGTCCCTAAAGGGCTCACTCAGAATAAAGGGTGCTTAGTCAGGAACATATTTATATTTTAATTGCTATCAGACAGTAGTAATGCTCTCCAAGAACAAGAACTTACCATAAACTTCCTCCTCCATTTTTTTGTATTGTACTCTTGGATTTAGAAAAATAACAGAAATGCTTTTAAACTTATATTCTAAGACTGGCAATTTGACACATAAAAGGTAAGAAAGCCTCTGCAGAGTAGTGACACCCGGCTCTCATATTGAATCAAACCAAACATTCGGGGAGCTCTCCTACTGAAACTTTTGCTAGCCAAAAATTGACACATTTTTCTGAGTGGCCAAAGCAGAGGAGTCTGTAGATACCCCAGCCTGTCACATAGTAGAACTTCATTCTCCTGTCTTCACTCATGTTGACCGCTACCACTTTGCTCCACAGGAGAAGCCCCTCTACCAGCATCCATGAAAAGGCTGCCATGAAGAAGAGATGAAGGCAGGCAGTGACCATGAAACACACCACCTGGAGAGAAGAGAAATCACACACTGTTTCAGGAGGAGGAGTCCTCTGGGAGCTTCTGAGTGCGTCTGATCAGGAAGAAGAGAGCAGCCTGCAATTTATGCTGCGGAATGTGCAGAAATGCATTTAAACATCCACAAGCACCAGGAAGAGTTCTTAAAATTGAAACACATGAATAGTCCAACTGCTGCAGCTCACACTCATTTCATCTGTGTGACCATCTCAAACAACAGAAGAGGGAACTGATAGCATCTTTTCCTGCAGTTCTTGGACCTTCCTTGCAGGTCTCTCATCTCAGAGCTGCTTGATCCAGCCCCGGGATGTGAAAGAGGACACAGAAAGGGACAGAACTGTATGTTGCTGGTTTATAACTACTTAAATTTCCTGAAGGATTTTTTTGTCAAAAACAAACTGTCAGAAAAAAGAGGTGAATTTTCCTGAGAGATTGCACAATGCATATATGCATATCTCCAAACACAGAGACACAATTCTTTCCTAGATGCAAGTTACAGGTAATTAACAAAACATTAATAAATGGGATTACGCTTCTGTTCTGTTTGCCCCGACAGTAATGCTTGAGCAGGCCTGGTTCTGCTGGCTGAACAGGACACTTTCTGGTGAGCTTACCTGGTTGGTCTTGGCCAGTTCACTGAACATGAGCAGAGCTTCTGCTGCAGCTAATGCAAAGATCAGATTCTTGTGCACGGTTGTTCGTTCACTCTTGGGGACACTGAGGAAGGAGAGAGGAAGACCTCAGCTGCAGTCAAATGAAAGGGTGCATGTGTTCTCACTAGTCCTTGCTGGGCTGTGCAGACCTGCCTGGGTGACCTGCCATCTCTCTGCTACTCACTGCAGAGACGACAGTCCAACGAGGCAGGGGACTGCCCTGGTGTGCACGCCCTTGGTGCTGGGGATGCGCTCGGGTACGGCTGCTCAGACCTTGGCCAGTGCTCCAAGGAACAGGCAGCAAGGAGGAGGTGGAGGGAGCCACTGCTGCGCTCACAAGGCAGATCTCTGTGCTTGCCAAGTGACACAGAAGGGTTGGCAATTGAAGAAATAGGCTTTGCTCCATTTATTTCATAAAAATTAACTCTAGCAGAGCAGCTTTTATGGTAAACATTATTAGCCACTGATAAAAATCTTTCCACGGACACTCAGGTGTGTGCACAGCTCACACAAGCATCTCCACAGAAACAACCAGCACTGCACCCCCTCCCTAGCCAACAGCAACCGCTCCCCTCCCTCCCTACTGCTACTGACCACCAGTGCAGCTCCCCAGCCTCTACCGCATCACCCCACACTGACAAAGGATACCTTGGTTGTATACTTGTTCTGAAGCAAAACAGCAAACAAATAATACAGAGAAGGCTACAACTGTCTGGACTTTTCTTACCCAACTGCCAAGAATAAAATGAAGGTAACTATCAAGGCACAGAATGAAACTCCACATCCAATAAAAGTCAAAGTCTGCAGTGTGAGCTCCTCCTTGGTGGTCCTCTGCTCCAATCATGAAACAACAGAAGACACAAAACCCCCACAAATTAACCACAGACTGCTCACAGTGCTGGCATCCAGTCCACAGAGTGGCAGAGAAAGGCTCCTCGCTTACCTGCATCTCGTACACCTGCAGCAGGACAGCAAAATTTGTGGTGTGGTTGCAAAAACAGGTAGTGGAGTCCGGGAGAGATGTCACCACAGAGCAGCCAGCTGTGGACCACATCCCACCAGCATCTGGGCTAACATGCAGCAAAAAAACAGAGAAAACATATGGAAATTACCATCCACTTCAACAGAAAGCCAAGGTGTTAAGGGAATTTCATTCTCCCAGAAGAAGCAGAGTTGAAAGGAAGAAGAAGAGGGTATCAGAGACAGGTTTTCATATGGACTTCCTTTTGGCTCATCCTGCGTCTCAGCAGGTTTGCCTTATCCATCAGGCATGCACGAGAAAATACGTCTAGTATCAAAGTGTGCGTTAAAAAGCACAGTTCAGCCATCACTGCTTTAAACAGAACTCAGTAATTGCACAGCTCTGGGAAGAGCTCGTTTTACAGCACATTAACTGAGAGCATCACTGGACCAGGCACGTCTAATCCTCTCCATCAGCTTGGCCTGCCATGTACCCTGTGCGGTTCCACCGGACTCTTGATCTTCAGGACAAGCCAGCCTGTCTCCAGCCAGCCAGCTGCTCTCCGCTGCCTGGGCAGCCAGCAAAGCTCCAGATCTGAATTCCCTGTGCAGGGACCAAGGCTGTGGTGGGTCAGCTCTGTCCTCACTGCCACCACAGCTCCTCTGAGCCTGCCTCGGTACCAAGGGAAGATCAAATTCAGAGCAGGGCTAGTGGAGCTGTTTGTGCAGTAACCAGCTGCTTCTGAAAACACCCTTTTCCCACCTTCCCCAAACCATTCATGCCTGTTACAAGGCTGGGACTCTAAGGAGTTTTTTTGCACTTGAATGACTTAGTTACCAACCCATAATATATTACAGTTTCAGTGCTCTCACTGTGGTGACATTCAGTAAAAACACATCTCAATGCCAAGCAGTATGTATGAGGCCGGGAGTCCTGCATGTCTGTTGGGCTATATATCTTGGACCAACCCTTCTTTGTTGCAGGCAACTATCATAATTAACTAGGGCTTTCCATTTTCATTGTATATACCTCATTAAAGGTCACTTGCTCATGAGTGGCTTTCCCAAAGGAAATCTTCCCAGGAGAACGCTCTACTCCAGCAGATAGAGGATGCCAGCATGCAAAGCAGGCAAAGAATTACAGATCCCTACTCTTACCATTACATTTATATTGTTATGTTTGGTTTTCCAGTGGAAATAAAAGCTCATAAATCTAGGGACTTGAACTGAAACAAAGCACCTGAGGCTGAAGTTCCAGAAGGCACAGATGGGCCCCACCAGCTTATCGGGCAGGTCCTGCAGGCAGAGAGGGAGAAGAAGAGATCACACAGCCATGCACGTACTGTATGCAGACTGATGCAGCTCACTCACTAGGCTGCAACAAAGTCTGTCAGCACAGGACTGTCATGGTTTAACCCCAGCCAGCAACTAAGCACCACGCAGCCGCTCACTCACTCCCCCCGCCGCCCCAGTGGGATGGGGGAGAAAATCGGGAAAAGAAGTAAAACTTGTGGGTTGAGATAAGAACGGTTTAATAGAACAGAAAAGAAGAAACTAATAATGATAATGATAATACTAATAAAATGACAACAGTAATAATAAAAGGATTGGAATGTACAAATTATGCACAGTGCAATTGCTCACCACCCTCCTGACAGACGCCCAGTTAGTCCCTGAGCGGCGATCCCTCCACCCGCACTCCCCCCAGTTTATATACTGGGCATGACATCACATGGTACGGAATACCCCGTTGGCCAGTTTGGGTCAGCTGCCCTGGCTGTGTCCTGTGCCAACTTCTTGTGCCCCTCCGGCTTTATCACTGTCTGGGCATGAGAAGCTGAAAAATCCTTGACTTTAGACTAAACATTACTCAGCAACAACTGAAATCATCAGTGTTATCAACATTCTTCTCATGTTGAACTCAAAACATAGCACTGTACCAGCTACTAGGAAGACAGTTAACTCTATCCCAGCCGAAACCAGGACAAGGACAAACACCTCCCCAAGGAAAAAGGAGTCAAGGTGAGAGACCTGGGCATGGGACACCCTTAAGTCCAAGAGCACTGGAGGCCTTGAGCCAAGGCTGGGCACAGCCTGCCGGGTCCGGCTGCGCGATGCCGCTGGCAGGGGAGGTGGATGGGCAGTACAGCCCCTCCTCGGGGTACCTGGACACGGTGCTGCAGGCGGTAGCGCACGGACGTGCTGATCTCCTGGTAGTCGCTGAGCAGAGCAGATGAGATCACAGCAGTGCCCACCGTGGTGCTCAGGTACCTGTCAGGGAAAGCATGCCGCTCACAGGCACAGGAACCACCAGACGTGCTCAGAAAACAGGATCTCACGTCATACAAGACAGCTGGAGAGATCCGGAGCCACTTCTGGAGTGCTTCAGTGCCACCAGCAAAGGGCCTGGGCACAGGGCAGAAGGTACTTGAGACTACCTGGCAAACAGAAACCACCACTATTCCTCCCGTAACCGCAGGAGGTGACCGTACAGAGGAGGCACTGGAGCATCCTAAGTGGTTGCCAGCTGAGCAGCACCATGGCTGAGCCAAAGGTGCACCAGGAGCTGCGTGTGCGCCGGGATGTGCGGGCTGCCATCCCCACCTAGTGTTCAGCGAGCTCCCCGGAGAGCAGCAGGGCTCTGCCTCCCACCACTTCTGCGAGCCACCATCTGCAGAAGCACCCCGGCTCCAGCAGCTTCGGCACCAGCCGGAGGGGACCCTGCAGCAGCCCCGCAGGCTCCGTCCCCAGCCACCTCCCAGCAGAGCAGATCACCTCGGGGGAACCAGAGGCACGCACAAGGGACACCACAGGCAGCCCCTGCCTCCACAAAGCACTGGTTCGGGAGCCCCTTTCCATTGTCCGATCTCCAAACACGTGTTGGAGAAAGCAGGGACAAGGACAAGCGGGATGGGATGGAGCAGGGTGGAGGTGACCCCAAAAGAGAGGCACCGAGAGACTCAGCGCAGACTTGGAAAGGAATTCTCCTGTGGTGCTAAGAGGGCAGCCCTGGGGTGCGGAGGGGCTTTTGTTTCACTCACTTCTGTCCTCCGTCAGAGGCAGGCACGTCCTGGAAGACAGCACTGCTGCCAGCGCTGGACAGGCAGCGCTGCAGGGAGCCGTAGCCAAACCACATGTTCTTCACCATGACTCTGCGGAGACCTGGAGGGATAGAGCATTGCAGGACGGGTGCAAGCCCACAGGGCAGCTCTGAGCAGCCCAGGCTTCAGCACCGCTGCCCTAATCTAGAGGTGTGATACTGGGGGTCCAGGGAACCCACAGCTCCAAGCTGTGTCTGTAGAGAGGCTGTAGATAATCTCTCCCCCACAGCCCATCTCCCTTTCGCCAGCAGCGTCTCCTCCCCACATCTTTCCAGACTGCATGTGTGCAGGGTAAAGAGTTTGTGCCGTTAAGGAGGATGCTGCACAAGTGCCAAGGGGAGACCCAGGGAAGCACAGGTGTCATAACCTACCTCTGGCTTTCAGTCTTTGCACTTCTTCTGTGGGAACTTCAATGAGGTCATGCCTGCCTTTCTTGGGGCTCTGGACCAGGTACGCCTGACTGCTCAGCTCCTGCCTGCTCAGCTCCAGCTTCCTGACCTCCATCCCTGTGGAGGGGTAAAATCAGGTACTGAACCAGGATTCAGTCTTCCTCCAGAGCTACTGCTACAGCAAAGTACCACAGGGACATTATAAGCCCAGCCAAGACCCGCAGCAGCAGACAGATCCCCTTCAGTGCAAACCATGTGCATCTGGGCTCAGTTTGTCTCCTGCACCCAGATGTTTCTTACAATCCCCTTACAATCCACAGTGTGAGAGATTCTCCCACACTGTAACACTTCTGCACAGAGAAAATGGGTAGAAGGCTGTAGGGTTAGCAAGAGGAGAGGTGCCAGGAGTGGACTTGCACTGGGAACCAGATGGGATGACTAAGCTGCGTCCCAGTGAGATGCTCTCCCCCAGCTCTGCCAGTGCCACTCACCGACATTGCCATGCTGGATCGTGATCTTCGTCCTCCCTGCAGTCAGCAGTGGGGCTAAGTGTGACACCATTCTGTCGCAGAGCTCAACAACAGCCATAGGCCCTCTGATAACCTGTAAACATGGAGAGAACAATGGAAATCAGCACCTGCACTGCCAGCTCACACTTCCCACAGCTCACACAAGTTTTCTTAAATGCTTGGCCCTTGGCAGAAAAAGAGAAGTTGGGACTCAAGGCTTTTCCTTTGCTTTTCTTTGTTTTCTTCACTAAAGGATGTTCCTGGTTCCTTCAGCAAGGAGATGAGACTGGCAATGAGGGAAACTTGCTGGTCTTTATAAAAAGCCATTAAACCAACATGGAAATAAATAACTAAATAAGCTTCTGGAAAGAAAGTAGATTTTTAGATCTGACTCCTGGTTTTGCAAAGCTGTAGAACAGCTGCTTCCTCTGTTTCTGGAAAAAGTTTCACCCAGAAATAGACTCCACTGCTGGAAGGGTAGCAGGTGACTGGCCCCTTTACTCAAGGTCCTGCATGTGTTGGGCAACACAAGTGCCACCCCTGCACTACACAAACTCAAACCCTTTCTCCTTCAGCAGATATATCTGCTGCACCAGCTACGCTGGGCCAGAGCTGGTTTTATGCCACTATCGAGAAGCTGTGAGTAATTGTGGCCACAGAGACCCAAGCAACTCTAAGCGATGAGGTAAACTCTGAACTATTCAGCATCCTTTCGACTCTGGAGGTCCCTGGCTTGGTTCCTGGAGCACTGGCCAGGCCAGATGCTGTCACACATTTCCCAAAGACGGGTGGAAAGTGCAGACCATACAACAGACACAAAAGACCCATGCGAGAAGGGAAGAAGCTAATGGAGAAAATCCTAACAGGGGTGGGATGATGTAAATCCCTCACGCAAAGCCTGAGGGTGTTTTGAACAGCGTGGGGGCTGATGACAGTTAGCTCCTTGGCAGCCCACCCATGGAAAATAGAACAAACTATAAAGTGAAGGGCATTGCCCTGCCAGAGACAGCACGATGTGGGAGCAAGGAATCTACAAAGCACCAGGAATCTGCAAACTGTGTGTAATCCTGTAAATCCAGGCTGACAAAGTGGAGAAGCTTGAAGAGAGCAGAGACAACCACTGGAGGGATTTGCAAGGAAGGCACCACTTGACTGCACTTGTTTGCAGAAGAACTTGTTTGCATCTCCAACAAATGAGGCAACAGTAAGGCAGATGGCCCTTATCTGAGCTGGCAAAGAGGCTCCGTGCCCATGCTTGCAGCATTTTCACAAGCTCCAGAATACAGCCAGAAAGACTACATGTGACCAGGCAAGGACAGGTCCTCAGCCTGTGGTCATACAGCAGGCCAAGAAGCTGCACACACAACAAGATGAACAGATGTGGCACACTGTGGCCAGACTGCTCGTGACACCGTTACCTGGCTGACTGATGACCACGTTTCAATATTCTGCTCTTCCAGGATTAACTCAGTCACTTCCACGTAATACTGCCCCAATTGCTCCAACATCTCCAGCTCCTCTCCCTCCTGGACTTCCACATCAGAAACTTGCTTTAGTAACTGAAGCACTGCAAGGAGGTCAGACGACTCCAGCACGGGTGTCTCTCCTTCCCTCAGAACAGTTGCCAAGACATCAAGAGCACCAAGAGCAACAGAGAGGTTCATGTCTTGGATGTTGCTTGTGAAGAAGTTCTCAGGAATCTGCCATGGAAAAGATGTTTTAGTTCAGTGCAGAGCCCTGCATGCCCTCGCTGGTGTGAGGACACCTGCCTGGCCACCCAGGCTTCTCTTAGGGGAAGGAGATCAGCCTTGACATTTTGAACTCTCTTGTCCAGCCTCTCAACCTCAGTGAGACGAGTCAATCTGAAGCAACACTTTGCTTGTTTGATCACACTATGAGTTACAGCTGTATTGGTCACACTCTCCAACAGCAGCTCAGAAAAGGCCACAGGCATAACTGCTGGCCTCAAACACCAGTAGGTGCCAGCAACTCCACCCCAACAGCTCCTGCCTGCTCCTGGTGTCAGATGCCAGCGCTGGGACTGCAGGACTCACCACAGTCCTCTCTGCAAGTGTGTTCACACGGCTGACAAGCGAATGGCTGGATTCCAGCTGAGCTTTTTTCAGTTGCCAGTATGCATCTGAGAATAAAACAAAAGCATAACCATTGCTGTGGTGTCTAGCAGCATGGTAAATACATGCCATGTTCAAAGCCTGGGAGCCTTGGGAATGGTCCTCAGATAGTGGGTAAGTTTGTAGGACAGTCAGGGCAAGGAAACTTCACAGCTATATTTTATTTCTAGTACAAGATCCCACCTGGAGAGACAGTCTAACACTTCTTTTCTGCCTCCTCCCCATGTCCCCCTGGCCAACAAGTCTGGAGATGCCTGGATTGGAAGGCACTCTACAGCATTGCATCCAGAAGCCATGTAATGTGTACAGCCACTGCTTAACTGGAGAATAGCAAAATAACCTGTCAGAGCACATGCAACTGAAGCAAAACCACAGCTACAGCAGGTTTTGCACGTGATCGCTTCAGAGCAGACACAAGGCCTTCCCATCACTGGCCATCATCCTAGCGAGGACCTCCAGGAGTGAATGCCATGGAAGTAATGAATAAACAAATAACATGCTGTACCCTTTCTGTAGCGACAGATAAAAGGCAAAGACTGCAAACAAGATGTGTAACTGAATCCACTGCTGCCAACTTCAAAAACTCGGCATTCCTCAACAGGCCCTGTGGAAACACACACAAACAGAAGGCCCAGGTCCCCCACAGACACGCCATCCCCAGCAAGTATCATGTTTCCTGCAAGCAATCCACAAACCCTGTTGAAGACAAAAGCTGTGGACTGCTCCTGGAGCAGCCCCAGAGCCAGAGCACAGCAGGGACTGGGGTCAGAAACGGCTCCTGACCCACCCGGTAAATCCCCTCCAGAAGGAACTCAGAGGAGGTGGCAGTGCCAGGTCCTGAGTTCGTGATTTATCAGTAATGACACGCCAGTCTGGCTGAGAGACTGAATCCCTCCTCCCAGCACAGCATCGAAGCACTGCGTGTGCAAATCCCAGGAAACAGCATCACTGACAAGTAAGCCATTTCTCTCAGTAGACGAGAAAGCCTGTAATTAGCCCAGGACTTCTGAACAGCTGTCATTGCTAGGGTCATTGCAGGGGTCTTCAATGACCAAGGGTTTAGTCATGACTGTGCCTTTAAGTACAATTTCTAAACTGCCCAGCCCAGCTCAGAATGTGCTTCTGCTCTCCTTCCTGAAGGAGAAGCATCATTCCAGAAACTGCACCAAATTCCCTAGGGATGGGACTGGCTTCTCGGACTATCCCTGCATGCTGACCCCCTGCTGCAGAAGGGAGCTGAAGCAGCGAGGGTAACGAGACTTACCTGGGCAAAGGAACTGTGCAGTCACCTCCTGAACGGTGCTTTCAACCTCCAGAGCGTTTGAGCTCCACCCAAATACAAGGTCTTGCTCTACCACCCAGCATGACCGAACTTTCTCAATCTGTTCCGCACTGAGGACTTTCTGCCAGATGTGCAAGTCAGTGATGTTCCCACTGAAGGACTCTTTCTCCCTGAAGGTGCCCCCCAGGGAATCTTGATCCTGCCCAATTATGAAAGTCCCCTGGCCGTAGATGGCCTGGGGGGCAGACGGCCCCACAGCACACAAACCGCTGGCAGAGGCTCTCCTTTTACCATCAGCATAGATGGCCCAGGTCCCGTTTTCCTGCTGCCAGGTCACGCAGAAGTGATGCCACCGTCCATCAGCGCGGAACACGGGCAGGTATGGCGAATGGTGCCCGTGGACTATGAGAGCAAATCGAACAAAGCCTTCCTCGTCAACAAAGCCACGGAGCTGGAACTCATTAATAAAAGCCGGCACAGCATAGGAGAAGATGGTAGCAATCTCCTGGGTCCTGGTGTCCCATTGGAGGTGGGCACAGGCTGTGACAGCAGGCAGTGCTGGGAAGTCAGAGAGCACCTTCACATATTTTGTGTCTGTTTTGTCTCTGAATACCAGGACTGGTACACTGTGGTCCCCTAGAAAGAGAAATTTCAGCCAACATAAAGGAAGAAGCATGGGCCAAAGCCTGATCATCTTCCATTGGGATGATGTATTGGGTCTGGCCTCCTACTCAAGCTAAGAACTCATGGACCGGGCAGGCAAGGACATCCTGTAAGCATGCAGCAAGGCTTCTGCTTCCCCCGTACCTGGAGGGGATCAGGAAGGCAGGCAAGCTGAGATTGCATCATTTCAGCAAGTGTAGTTTCCAGAAACTTAGTTTTCTAGCAAATAGGATTGCAAACAATGAGTATGGAAGGAACAGCATGTTCCCAAGCATCCCATGCTACAGCAACGAAAAGCACAGTCAAATAAGACTTTTGAGGCATCTGCCATGTGGTGCCTTGCTGCTGGGGAGCACACGTTCTCCTGGTCCTGTCTCTAATACCGTTGCTCTGCAGGACCCGCAGGTCACAAATGGTGAGGCTGAGCAAAGCCAGACCTGCTTTACAGCGAGATGGTATAGGAGGACAGAGCAGAGGAGAAACTTTGCAACCCCCATCTGTTGCAATGCATTAAAAAATCTTGACAGTGACCAGCTGATGTGCTGGGATCACTGTTGTTCATGCTGCCAGTTCTAGCTTGTAACTAGAGGTCCTAGGTGTTACCACAGTGACAATGAAAAACAAGTGGCGACTTTTCTAGTCAGATTAATTTTTCAGGATGAAAAAGATCCAGCAGTGAACATGTCTCCCAATAGTCCAAGCCCACTTATACTCACGTCTCCATTTTGGTTTGTGCAGGAAACCATCCCTTTCATTTAGCCAGACAGAACCTCTGATGCTGTGGGACTGCAGCAGTTTGCTGAAGGAAGCTCGCTCACTGTCTTGGGGTTCAAAAAGCAACTGGGAAAAGCGTTGTTCGCAGTATCTGTCTGCATGCCACCAGTCCAAAGCAGTGGCCACATATTCATACATGTGTCTTGAGGTCTCAATCGTGACAGGAGCAAAACCTGGAGAAAGACACATGTAACGTGGAGAAACAGAAAGCCTCTCCGACCCACTTTTGTGCCATGTACACTACAGGGTCATTCTCTTGCAGCATCCCCAAGTATTTACAAATACTGCCTGGTGCACCCTGGAGAAGCTGAAGGCAGGAGCTCATTTCCGTATCCAGCCCTCCGGATGTTCAGTGGGCACAGCGTGACAGAAAAGTCCAGACTATATTGGACCTAAAATGAGGGACATCTGTGAGTCCACTCACAAACTGAATCGCTGGCCTAGGGCTGGAGCTGGGCACACTTCTGTGGGACACACAAAACCATGCTGAGCTCAGTCCGAAGAAAAAGCTCACTGTGGTACGCCTAGGGATTGCCCTCAGGGTAGCTTGTTCAAAGCAGTTATGTACAACCAAATTTTCTCATTTCATTCCAATTTCCCAGCTCCTACCAGCTCCTGCATTTGCAGATGCAATTTGCAAGAGCAAAATAATCTGTTTTGTTTGCAGCAGCACAAAGACTAGCAGCTGAGCAGTACTTAACTGATTTTAGACAGTAATTTCACAGTTAGCCAAGCAAACAATTAGCTAAACAAATATAATTTCAGGCACAAAACAGGGTATCAGAAGAAGTTTCTTTACCTTTGTTTCTGCCACTGGACACCTTTTTATGCATTGTTTCTCTATGCTGAATATTGCTTGTAAAAACATACAGCAGTGCTGATAAAAACACTAACCTTTAGAAGTCTGATTCTTGGCAAGGGCTGCAAAGGCAAAGAGACTCCTGGACAGAGTACTGACCTGTTGGAGAGGATGTTTTGTAACGTTCATATAAAGCATTAATATTATCTCAAATACTCAAATTATAAAAATTACTGTAAAACTCACCAGAAGGCTGAAAAACCACGAATCAAGTCTTGAGTCTCTCCTAAACATGCTGACCAGCTGGAAAGCTTTCACCTTTTGCTAGAATAAACAAAGTATTACTAGGGATGCATTACAGAGACAAAAGCATTCTGCAGAAACTTAGCTCTCAGACAAGGCTGCTTTCCTCTGAAAGTCTTGATTCAAAAAAGAGAAAATGACTCTATCTGAAATACCTGTCCTGGGTAGTATCCTATCAAAATAATTCTCAGTTCTTCTTAAAGAACTCAAGGTCTCAGTTTAACATTTGTTTCCAGGATACAGAATAATTAATCATAAAACATATACAGATGTGTGATATTAATAGACAGGCAAGTTAGCAGAGCCTCTTTATCTGCATTAACTAAATAAAAAAGCCATCATAAATTGCATCGTTAAACAGTGTCACATCACTGGCAGCTTTTCTCATTTCTTTTAAAGCCCGCAGGAATACAGCACCAGAACAGATCCTGCAGACCAGTAAATCCAGCCTCCATGAGCAGTGCCTGAACACGCAGCTCAGTACCACACAGCCATCCTGGAGAGCTGCCCAACATCAGGACTCGGCCGCTGAGCCCCCGCTGCACCAGCTCTGGGCCGGTGGAGGGAAAGCCTGAGTGCATGGCTGTAGAAAATCTCGTAAAGTTGTAGATATGGGTATGTAAAGATACAAACATGGAAACTGGCAATGTGCTCTCCAATGCAAACAAGTCCTAAAGCTGTCTCTCGGCACCGACACTGCCAGCAGTGAGTAATCTCTTTGCTCTCAATGGGACTCTCCTGTGTGCACAGCAAAAGCACACATTTAAGCACTTTGCTGCTAAGGGACTAAGGAGATCAGTTCTGAAGCCCGGACTCTAAATATGTTCACCAACAGTCTTCCAAAGTTCAGCAGTGACTTTATAAGCAGCACACAGCTCCAAGCCCTCCAGGGAGAAGTGCCTTTGGCTCTGCGCTCATCTGATGGGTGAGCGACAGGAGCCACGGGCAGCTGCCCGTGGAAGCCCCTGGAGATGCTACCACGGGAAATCTGGAACACGGGCTTGGCATGAAAAATAGGGCAGCGGGGGGGTTACCGGGGATCCGGCCGGCAGCGGGGGTCTAACGCCGTACTGGGGACCCCGGGGGAAGGGGGGGGTACCCCCGGCACACCCGCCGGCAGGACAAGCCCGAGATGCCGGGCTGGCCGCGGGAGCCGCCTCGGGGCTGGGGGGGCCGGGGGGGTCGGCAGCGACGGCCCCGGCGCACAGCGGGCT